CTGTCCTTTAATAAAGCTTCCACTTTCCACTCCACCCTTGCCGTGCTTCTCTGGTGTGAGACTCCAGCCTTCCCAGAAGCAAGGACTCACTGGTGAACAGCAGTAACACTATCAGTCAACTGTGTGGTCCTTTCCGGATCTTTTACCTTTAAATGTGTTTGACTCAAAGGTTGCCACTAACGTATTCATAATTAAGCAGTTCACACTATTGTATTCTTTGTTTTAATGCTGAATCTTTATCTCTTATGTATTTGTGAGTGCGTCTCACTCAGAGTGCCTGCCCAGAATCTCTTCATTCTCTCACATCATTATAACCAGAAAAATGCAAAGAACAGAGAAGATGCATATGGCCTCAAAACCAGGCAGTTTTCTGCTGTGCTCATGTATCACCGTCAGTTTGTGTTGAAAATTTTCATTATTGAGAAAATACTGATCTCCTTATCAGGATATTGTTTTGGAATGTGAGGGCACAACATGGTATCATGACAGTAGCTCTCTGATCATTTTTGGAGGAGTAGAAAGAGCAAGTAAAGAAGAGAAGGAAGGAAAGGAGGAAAGGAAAGAGTAGGATAAAGAGTCTTAAAAATCACTTTGGTTAGGACAAATGTTTACCCAGTGCCTACCTAATTCTATAGCAGAGCAATTTCCTCAATGAAGATTCAAAATGATCTATCAAGACTCCAAATATTCCAAGTCCTCAAAGAAGACTGTGGGTAGAAGATTTGACATAACTGTCTACTTGTCTAAAGATAAACTTCTGGTAATTTCAACTACCACGTACTCAGCTGTAGACTGAAAAAGAAATCAAAACTGGGAGTCCACTTGTTTCTGCTTCCTGTAAAACCTTACAAGCCCAGTGACTAGGTTTCCATACTGACCTAAACCTCAGAAGGCTTCATGAGATCATTTCTGTTGTGACTCCAGTACTTAAACCTAGTGGTAGAGTCGGTTCAATAAATATTTGTGAATAAATGAGAAGAAAAGAAGCAGTTGTTAGTAGTTGAGATTGTGGGAGACAGTCACAGAATTGAGAGATCTGATGGTTGATGACCCCAAATCCAAAGAAAGAGCAAGAAAACCCATAAAATCCAGACATGGGTTGGTTTGGTGGTGGTGTACAAATGTGATCCCTAGGACCTGGGAGCCTGAGAGAGGAGGATCCCAAGTTGGAGGCCAGCATGGGCAATTTAGTGAAGTCCTGTTTCAAAATAAAAATATTTAAAAAAAGGGCTCGGGATGTAGCTCAGTGGTAAAGCAGCCTTGGGTTCAATCTCTAGCACCAAGCCAAACAAACAAACCAACAACAAAAAACAGACACAAAGGGCACTAATTTAAAGGACTAACAGTCCTATGCACCTATTTTACCAGATTCTGAGGGATTACAACCCAGGTAACAACCCCTCCCCCCCAAAAAAAATTATCATCAACAATAATGACCCCAATTCATTGGGAAAATATTAGATTTTATTAATCCATCTCATTTAATAAAAGACTAGCAGGAAGAGGTACAATGTGCTTTCAAACATTTCCATTGGACCGGATTAAAATCTTCACTGAGAACACCTGTCGCCTCCCAGGCTCCGATTGATTCCTTTTACAAAATGTGATCTGGATGCAATGATGCCACAGACCTCCTCTCCCTGCCCCCATCCTTCATTCTATTCCAGGACCTCTAGCTCCACAGTGTCTTTTGTAGACATGGAAAGGGTGCAGTTCCTTTGCCTTTGGGATTTGTTGCAGATCCCAGTACAGAATTTCAGTATGCTCCACATGTCGGACCTCCCTGTTTCGGTTACAAAGCAGTACAGAATGGGGTCCGCCACACAGTTGAGACTTGTCAGGGCCACGGAGATTCTGTACATGGTGTACGTCTGCCTCCCGGACTTGTCCTCCAAATTTATGTTGCGCTCTAAGATGCAGCGGACCAGCAGCATCACATGAAAGGGAGTGAAACAGAGGACGAAGGTCAGGGTGATGCTAACCAGCAGTTTAATGATCCTTATCTTTTCACGGCTTTCTGTGGCTTGATTGTGCCTGACAGCTTGATAGACTTTCTGGTTGCAAATCGCGATGATGACCAAGGGTACCGCGTAGCCCGTGCAGGTCCTGAACAGGTTGAGGTTGATCTGCCACTTCTCCAGAGGGTATTTGTCATAGCATAAGGTGAAATTAGACCGTCTGGCATCACAGTATTCAATGGTTGTTTCATCCTCCCACAAAATGACAGCATTAAAGATAGATTCCAACACCCAGATACAGAGGCTGACCATGAAGGCGAATCTTCTGGTCCTGAGAAAAGAGAATCTCAAAGGGTAGACCACAGCTAAGTACCGATCAACGGCAATGCAGGTGAGGAAGCCCGTGCTGCTGTAGAAGTTCATGTACATGCAGAAGGCACTCCCTTTGCACAAGGCAGGCGAGAAAGTCCAGTTGTCTTTATTCCAAGTGTAATCAATCCACAGAGGGAGAGTTAAGGCGTACAGCAAATCCGACAGCGATAAGCTGAAGAGGTAAATTCCCAGCTCGTTCTCCTTCTTGGCTTGCAGGAAGGACACACAGAGAGACCCGATATTGGCTGGGATGCTGACAAAAATCACAAAGATGTAAACAGTTGGAAACAGATAGTGTTCCAGGTCGTGCTGTTCTTCAATACATGTGCTGTTCATTGTTTCTTCTTCAGGTGGCAATAACAGTAATTCTTGGGATGTAAGAACAGGGAAATTAGTCTTTTGTAGTTTGTTTTCAACATCGAATTCTCTTTTACTGTGCGCACCGCCCCCCTCAATTTTCCTTTGGTTTCTAAAGTTCTAATTAATCCATCACTGTTTTGAAGGGTGGGTGCAGATCAGTTTTCACAGGTGATGCATTGTTGGAAGTCAGAATCCAAACTCCTGGAAGTTAGCTAAATTCAATGAAGAAGACAAGCCCATGTGTCCATAGGACAGAATGCTGGCAAAGAGCCCTCCAGGATCAACTGGGATATCCTTAAACTTCCAATTTAATTTTCTTCATGAATCTCACAGAGATTGGTGCAGAAAGAATTCATTTTCGCAGAGATTGACATCTCTTTTTAAATGCCTTTGTGTCTGTAATGAAAGATGAACTAGAATAGGTTAGATGTCTACAAGATATATGACCTCCTTACAATCATGATTTTAAAGAATTCTTGTATTTCATTATTGAAGATCTTGCAAATGTTTTAAATCACAATGAAGGTGCCTAAATGGGAAAATTACTTAGTAGACTTTAGTAAATAAAATCAAGCTGAGATATTTTACTTACTGCAAATAAGAATTACCCAAGGGAGTCATGTTTCTCACCAGGCATGAGATAACAACCCAAACTAAAGCCAACAGGCAATTTTAAGTGGCTAAAAATAGAAAATGTAGTTATTTGGTTGTGATCAGTACATGCCTCCAAGTGTGTGATACACTTTGTGGTTATACACTTTTACATTTTTAATTTCATATACAATTTAGGTGTAAAGCACTTTCAAACCAATCGTTTTAGCCAAGCGAATATTTTCAGAAGAAATACAATAAAGTTTAATTTTAAAATACAACAACAGCTTGTTGAGCCTTAATACATAGATGAGCCCACATTTTTGAGCTTTTTCTTCCTTTGTGAGTTATTACATTTTGTCTTTCACCATCAAGAGAAACTTTCATAAGGCTTTTATACTTCCATGAACAAGAGGATAGAATGTTCTGCATTTTAGGTAAAATCTTGTGATCAACAATTTCTGCTGATATCCCAGGTTATTTATTAGGGTGGTTTCTTTGTGAAGCTATGATGTCATGGATCCACACAGGAGTAAAGGATTCATCCTTCTCCCCATCCTGGGGTGGAGAAATACTTCTGGTATTCCTCTGTTAGTGGTGCCTCTTGGTGGTTTGGATGATTTACCTGATGGGGGCCTTCAAAGAAAGCTTTGCGAGGACACCAGACAGGGCATCAGATCTCTTGCCTTCCAAGTGCCGATGGATCCTGAGCACACTAAGGACCTGCCCTCATAAGGCATGAGGATCCTGCTTGTAGAGCAGGCCATATCCAGAGTACATGACATATCTCACTCAAAACAAATTGGAGAAAAACTCCTGAGATCTTCCGGTCTCATCACACCTCAAATATGAATGAAATGTGAAAAACAGCCTTTCAAATCAAAACAGTCTCTTCCAGAGAGAAAAATAATTCTGATGGATAAAATACAAGTTGGTGCTGAGATGAGGGAGGTCAGTGAGCAGGGTAAGCTCTGGAGAATCTAAAGGCATCTGTGGCTTTGGAAGAAATAGCTAAAGCCTCTGGAGCAGATAAACGCTAAGTTTGGACCCACGCAGGGAGGGAGGTCCTCGACCATCCCACACACATTGGTAAACAGGAGCCTCCACCCTCAGAAGGGTGAGCCAGGAAACAAAGTAAAATAGTAAACTCCACAGACATTTTGCAGACAGCAGAGAAAAGTTGGCAAGTTCCATATCTCAGCTTAGTCTCTGTGGGGAGCTATAAAAAAAGAATGCTTCCCTGAGTGTTCATGCAATTCTAGGTATATATGAGTACATATGTGTTTACCACAGCAGTGCACAAGATTAAAATATTCACAGTAGCACTATGTGTAAAGCCCTTCAAATTAAATGCCTATTGGCAGTAGATTAGATAAGTAAATTGTGGCATATTAATACAATTGAAATCTACATATTGATGAAAATGAAGAAATGATTGCTACACTTAATGACATGGGTGAAACTCACAAACAGAATGCAGAATGAAAGGAAAGACAAAGACAGCAAAGTATGTGCTAATAAAAGCCAAGCAAAGTTAATATATGCTGCTAGAATTTAGAATTTGGGAAGGAAACCAGATACCATGCAAAGAGGGTATGATGGGAACTTCTGAGATTTTGGTGATGTTCTGTTTCTTGGTA